CTGGCTAAAATTACAGAGAGCCCTATGATTAAATTCTTAGTAATTATAATAATTGATGGTTCATTCCACCAATTATTCCCCTGATAAATCAGGAAATTAGCTAAAGGATAGTTATTGAATCACTATGTAGTATTAATACAGTATTAATACAGTTGAAGTCAGAATTATTAGCCCTCCTGAATCATTAGACCACCTGTTTATTTTTTTCCCCAATTTCTATTTAACAGAGAGCTGATTTTTTTTTAACACTTTTCTAAACATAATAGTTTTAATAACTCATTTCTAATAACTGAATTATTTTATCTATCCATGATGACAGCAAACAATATTTTACTAGATATTTTTAAGACACTTCTATACAGCTCAAAGTGACTTTTAAAGGCTTAACTGGGTTAATTGGGGTAACTAGGCAGGTTAGGGTAATTAAGCAAGTTATTGTAAAATGATGGTTTGTTCTGTAGACTGTTGAAAAAAAAATAGCTTAAAGGGGCTAATAATTCTGTCCTTAAAATGGTGTTTAAAAAATTAATAACTGCTTTTATTCTAGCCAAAACAAAACAAATATGACTTTCTCCAGGAAAAAAAAAAATATTATCAGACATGCTCTGAAAATTTCCTTGTTCTGTTAAACATCATTTGGGAAATATTTTAAAAAGCTAAAAAAAAAAATCATAGGGAGCTAATAGTTCTGACTTTAACTGTACATTATATAATATATAATACAGTCTTACGAGTAACAATTAAAGCAGAGAGTTAGATTATTAATGCATTCCTGAGGGTAAACTTGGATGTGGTTGTTATTAAATAATATAATCTTTACAAAAATGCGCTAGCGTCGAGTTATTTGCATAAAAAACATGTGCAGTACAAAGATGTGTTCTTTCAAAGACTCTGCCATATAAGGCTTGTATTGCTGTACAGAGTCTAGTGTGACAAAAGTCTGTGTGAGGCTTGGTGACCACATGTTATAACAGCAGCAACGTGTGAAAAAAAAATGAAGAAAAAAGGAAGTAGAAAATGAGAAGCAGCCAAATATATTGGCACTTCAGAAAATGTGCTAAAACTTGATACATTTTTTTGTTCAGTATTTTCATGTGCCAACCAAATATTGTACTGATTATTTAAGAAAAATCGAGAAAAGATTATTAAAGAAAAAGAGAGAAAAGTTAAAAATAAGGATGGCATCGACTTAAAAATATTAAACTACTGTTTAAATCAAGACTGAAAACACATCTGTTTAGCTGTGCCTTTTAATGAATGAGCACTGTGCGATGTCTTTAAGATTACACTATTATGTCTTTCTTTTCTTTTTCATTTATTTATAACCTGTTTTAACACATTTTAATCAGTTTTTATATGTTTTAATTGTTTAAATCATTTTTATTTTCTTGTTTCTTTTATTTTTGTTTATGTAAAGCATTTTGAATTACCATTGTAAATTAAATGTGCTATATTAATAAACTTGCCTTGCCCTGCCTATGTCTTACATACAACCCATACATTTGTCTGGCATGTAAACCTTTGTTCTTTTGCAAACACTATTCATAACAGGTATTAATATCCATTTAACTTCATCCCATCTGATCTGTGTTTACATGATATAATTTCACTTCAATGAATTAGCAAGAAGTAACAATGTTAATTTGTCGCTTAATTATGTGACTACACAAGCACAAGATGCTGTAATTTTGCTGGTGTAGTAGAAAGAAGTGATGTATGAGTGACCAAAGCAGTAATTTACAGTATGTCAAGAAAATTCACCGCTAAATCAAATGACATTTAGTCATTTTAAATGTCAAAATGTATTAATACAGAATACAGTCCTTCTGAACCTAAATATTATTTCACTGTATTTCAGTTTTTTTTTATTTTTTTTATTGTATTTTTGAACTTCCAAAAATCGTCTAAACCTTTAAATCAGTGGTCACCAAACTTGTTCCTGGAGGGCCGGTGTCCTGCAGATTTTAGCTCCAACCCTAATCAAATGCACCTGAACCAGCTAATCAAGGTCTTACTAGGTATACTTGAAACACCCAGGCAGTTGATGCAAGTTGGAGCTAAACCCTGCTGGGACACCGACCCTCCAGGACCGAGATTGGTTTCCTCTGCTTTAAATGGTAATGTAACTCTGACACAAACCTCATATGAGCTATTGGTTTTACCTTAGCAACTACAGTTTGTATCATTTCAAAGTTCAGTTTAGGACAAACAATTACTGACATACTCAAATATCTGAAGCAAATTTTACTTAATAAAATATTAACAGGTAGGTCAAAATATTGAAACATTAATGGTACAGCTCACCCAAAATTGAAAATATGCTGTAAATGTACACATCGTCAGGCCATCTGAAATGTAGGTGACTCTTTTTTAATTAGTTGAATATGATTTTAAATGAAATGATTTGAAATGATTTTTAGTTAAATTTGTGGTCTTTCTTGATTACAATCTCCCCAAAAATGAAAAAAATAAAATGAAATAAAATAAAATAAAATAAATAAACATTGAACTGCATTGTATCACCAATGACCACTGATTCAGTTAAAACTCTTTAATGTTCTACTGAAGAAGTAAAAACGTCACTTACATCTTTCATTTTGACAATACAAAATCTTGATCATATTCCAAATTAGACAATCTTTTAAATGTGGCAAATTATTCCAAGTATTACTTTTCTTTTTGGTCAAATGAGACATGCAAAATGAATTCATGAAACCATTCATAAACAATTCAGTGCTTTAAAATGTAAGATTTTTATGCTCAGCATAGTTTGCCCTATGCTGGTTTCACCAGTTTCTTAACATAAAACCTGTTTTAAGAAAGAATATTCTGTTCTTCCTCATAGCAACATTTCAATATCAATAGTTAATATCAACTATAATTTCACAGCTCTCAAGAGTTCTTGATTGTGATTGGTCAAAAACAGGATTTTGAGGTGTGATATTTCCTGATAGCAACTGGTAAAACTGAAAACAGGCTCGCACAAACTGAAATAAAGCAGTGTTGGGTTACAATGAATCTTAGTGTTTGATTATTTAATAAAATGATAGACTAAAATCGATATTTCGTGCATAAATATTTATTAATTATTCAAGTATTGCAGAGTCACTCTTGGTTTTCACATAGACAAGATCGCTTTGTATACCATTATAAAATCAAATCAGATATTTTGCATAAATTATTCACTTTTGGTAGGACGAAGCTGGAAGTGAGACAAAGTAGGATTCATTCTGTGATTAAAAAAACAAGTGGATGTAAAATATCCTTTACTTAAAGAATGGCTCCATCGAAAGCACTGTGTGGAGTTTCTACTGAATGTCTTTTTTGTCCTAAATCTTCAAAAGTGTTGTCAGGTCACATCATGTTCCAGAAAAACACAATCTGCCCACAAAGACTTCAGCAAACAATAAAACAGTGTCAACAATTTCATATTATATGCCAACACACAACCGACTGTGTTCTAAAAAAATGGATGAAAAGCCCTTCAAGAGAATGTCTGTTAGGATGAGGGAGCTGCAATTCCAGTTTTCTCAAGTTCTGTGTGTAAAAGATGTGTATTTCCTAAAGATTATGTGTTTACACGCTGAAGTAAAAAAAATACTGTTTCTATGCATATTAACATAGTGCTTCTTTACAGGAATTTTGCAATGAATCCAACATTTATTTACATTTCAAATTCTGTATTCATCTCAGATTTTACATTAAAGTAAAAGTTATTTAAAGTTGAAATAATATTTCACTGTATTTCTAATATTGTTGTTGTTGTTTTGATCAAAAAATTTGATCAAATAAAGTCTTGTTGAGCAGAATAGATTTAAAAAAAATAATAATAATAATTTTACCATGACTTTTTTTTAATTACTGCCAAAATGAACTAATGATCTAAAGTAAATTTGACAGAACTTGACAATGCAATTTAAATATTTATATTTTCAGTTTAAACGTTTAGTACTGTATTACAAAATGAATGAAGCATAAACTGTGTCAAAATAAAAATATGTTAATTACATTTGATGTGCAGCTTCATTAAAAAAATGATGTTTGCTGACTGTTCAAACTACTTCATTAAAATGGGCTGAAACGACACACTTCTTGAGATTTTGGGGGCACAACATAATTGTTTTATGTTCAATCCACTTTTACGAAGATTGTAAACACTTATAAGTTAACTTAATTCCTTCATGTTGTCCTAACACAAATAATTTGTGTGGAACCCAGCATTTTATTTTTTACAGCGTACATCTGTTAGGCTGGTGTGCTACAGTAGACTCACATCAACAATAAATACATGAAAAACACTAACTTGCCTTTTGTTTATTGTTTACTTTAAATGATTTTGGACTGTAAACATAACTGACTGAAGTCATGTGAATATATAGTCACCTTAGAATTATAGGGTTCTATCTGACATTTTTTTTCAAAATTTAGTTATTGACATTCTTATTAAATGACAACTTATTTACATTATGGAATGTTTTTTTTTTTTTTGTAAGTTATTTATACATTAAGACTTTTTATTTAGAAAAACAAATGTTACACACATACTGTTTGCTAAATGTAATGCAAAATCATTCAAAACGCAGATAGAAAGTTATAATTCCAATGTGACAATATGTTTTTTAACAATTAGCATTTTGGGGTTTATTAGTTAGCCTAACGGAGTCATTTTCGGGTTACTGCATTCATTGAAAGTTTGAATTACTTATCATTTGAAAACTATTTCAATATTTTTTTAACAAATGTCTCAGTTTATGCTCTTTTTGTATAAAGTATATTGCATAAAGCATAAAGTATACAAAACATCTATTATCATGAACTAACACATTTATAACAGCACAGAAAAAAATACGGGAGAAACACTGAAAAAGTAACTGTGGTTTGTCAAGTTCAAGTTAATTACTTTTTACTTGGTCTTCAAACATTTATTTATCTGCTCCCCATCTTAACAGATACTTTACTAATACATGCTTTGTTTCCTTACATGACTCAGTCGTAATTACTGTGCATCCTCTGACCGTTACACCACTTTTTGTAGTTAGCAGTATGGACCAGGCTTCTGTAATTCCTTCCAAAACACAACTTGGTCATTCAAGCTACGTGTTGTTGTGGCAACGAGTTTTGAATAGCGACATCGGTTGTAGTCCACAGGGAATACATTGAAAAGACCTCCATTGGGTGGATTGGTTAAACCAATTCTTAAATGCTGCATGCACAACCCCAGATATACATCTTCTATGTAAACCGGTTTAACAAGTTGGGCAGCTTCAACAAGTTTCTGTGACAGGTCTATAGAGAAGACATATCCTAAGCCCAGAGCATAGGGGGGATAAAAATCTGGGGCGAATGTTGTTTTCGGAAGGTACCACTTAGAATTGGGGTTTCTTAATACCACCGCTCCTCTAGCCACGAGTCCACTCATATAGTTCTGCTTTGGTGCTGACTGAAGCAGGTTCACTAAGTTTTTCACATTGAGGAAAATATCAGAGTCAACCTTCATTACATACGAGGTGTTCTGGCAGTAAGCGGTCAACCATTCCATCATTATCATTGTCTTAATGGTGAGATTGTAATAACTGTCCCAGAAATCGCTTTGCACAATGTCATGATACTGCTCGCTTTCCTTCAACAGATCTTCATGAAGCTTTTGGCTATCATTTGAAGTGGAGACACCTAGTAGGAATAATAAGGTCACCACCTTGTCCCCCACTAACTTCTCTGTACCCCACGTTGAACGGACGGCATCCCGTGCAGCCTTGTTGCTGGGAGCTACTGGTATCAACAACACCACAAACGGGTTTTCCTTCTGGCACTTCTCTGGCTCATTCACAATGAAATGATACTTCCCTGGGTAAGCCACACAATAGGGTTCTGGAGGCTTCCACGGTTCTTGAGTAGTCACTGCTGATGGTGTAGTCAATGAAACATTGTCGTCTTTAATAAATAATCCAACTGTCGATGTCCACGTGTCTGAAAATTCATAGGGGAGGATGTAGTAACACAGGCACAGGACCAGCAGAACCATAAAAATGCCAAGTGAGCGAAGAGATTTGAGTCCCCAAATTGATTTTCCATGGCTAAAACAAGAAAACATGCTTGTATTGTATATGAAATTAACTTTACACTTTATTAGAACAATACAATACAATACTTTATTTCAGACTTACATCTGAAATAGTTATGTTAACCAATCCTTACAAAAAACAAAAAGACTAACATACAGACTAATATACAATGAAAAGACACACAAATCTTGATACAAATACATCCTGATGTATAAATGAATGTTTTAACTTCACTTTATTAAAACGTGGGACTTTAAGTCAATGGGTAGAATTTAATGGTTTAAATTCATGATTCAACACAATCATCACAATGGAAATGATGTTCCTTGCGAGCTTTGTGAGGTTCTTGTATTACAAAAGGTCTCAAGAGGCTTTCCTACACTGTAAAAAGTGAAAACTTAAACAAATTACTTCGAGGTGTTACAATTAAAATAATTAAATTTAACAAACTTAATTTATGATAGTTTTCAGTAATAAATTAGTTTAGTTATTTTAGTTTTATTAATTTATTTAAGAAAACAAGAATGGAACAGTATATACATTACAGTACAAATCATTCAATTTAATATTGTTGTTATAATAATAATAGTAAAATACTTTTTTACAGTAAAAACAATTTCCTTCCCATGTTAATATTATTATAAAAATTATAATACTTTTATGTTTTGGCAGCCAGTACAAGTTTTGCTCACTAGCAATAGCGAACAATCTTACTGTATACTTGCCAAAAATCAATTACAAAAACTTGTTACACTTAAAGGGCGATGCAGTGGTGCAGTAGGTAGTACTGTCACCTTACAGCAGGAAGGTCGCTGGTTCGAGCCTCGGCTGGGTCAGTTGGCGTTTGTGTGTGGAGTTTGCATGTTCTCCGTGTGTTCGCAAGGGTTTCCTCCGGGTGCTCCGGTTACCCCCACAGTCATGCCCCCCAAAGACATGCGGTACAGGTGAATTGGGTAGGCTAAAATTGTTTGTAGTGTATGAGTGTGAATGAGGGTGTGTGGATGTTTCCCAGAGATGGGTTGCGGCTGGAAGGGCATCCGCTGCTTAAAAATGTGCTGAATAAGTTGGCGGTTCATTCCGCTGTGGCGACCCCAGATTAATAAAGGGACTAACCGAAAAGAAAATGAACAATGTTACTCTTAAAATAACTAAGGGTTATAAGTTTCTAACTTTAATCTACTGTAACTTTGTCAAACTTAATTAAATTCTTTGTAACAAGTCAAAGTAATTTGTTTAAGTTTTCACTTTTTATGGTGTACTATCTTTAAACAGATTTTAATCTAGTTCATCCAAGTTTGCTTTTAAACTCACAGACTCATAATTACAATACTCATACATACAGGCACACTGTAAAACCCTACAGTCCACTTTATCAAATGAATTGAGTGTAGTTAACTCAAAATTGACTAAAAGGTAATTCTACTCATTTGAAAAGAGTTTTGAACTCAGTGTTAAATACCTCATTACTTCAATTTAAATGGAGTAAGTTCACAGTACTCATATAGTTTAGCTTTTGAAGTCAACTGGGTTGAACCAATCGGTTTCCTCAAAAGGTTTGAGTTGCCTTAACGTATTGGGTTTTACAGTACTTAGTTGGTTTGAGTTCTCTTTATTTATTGGGTTTTTTACTGTGCTCAGATTGCCTCAGAGTTCTGTGAATTAAGTTCACAGAACTCATTAGTATTAGTTTTTGAACTTAAAAAGTTTCTTGCAAACATTTCTTCAAATGGTTTCAGTTGCCTTAACTTTTTGAGTTTTACAGTGCATAAAAATATTCAAGAATCTTTTTCGATGCTCCAAAACATCTAGGACAATGCCAAAAATAAATAAATACTGTATTAATTGAACATAAATTAGTTTATTATTTTAGTCACTTTCAAGATTTACTAATACGTTTTTAAAACCCGGGCACTCATGAACAATTATATCTTAACTAACATTAACAGATTAATAAATGTTGTCAAATGTTTGTGGAGTGTTATCAGACAGCAGTTCTATACAATCGATTGATTAAATAACAAAGATTGACATGAAGATTTAATCTGTTCAAAACCTGTGCAAAATTCTCAATAGAAACAAAATCCTGTGTTTAATCATTTCTATATGGCAGTTTTAAAGCAAATCCTTCACATTCAAATTGAAGCATTATCTTTACAGCGATTTGATTAATTTCCTCTTCAATATACAAACAGAAGACATCAATCAAACAAATCAGGCGTATGATGTATTGGTACTTTACCTTAGATCTTCACCGTCTTGCACCATATTTCCGCTGTAACTAGAGTTTCAGGCACATGATGGTAAACTTGCAGTGTGAGTGTTGAGTTTGTAGAGAGCCAAACCTTTTTCTTTTTTGCATAACCAGTTCCACCCGTCTACCACATCAGGACAAAATGAGACCAACACTATTCTGACATTTATAACAAAGGCAAAAGAGCAAACATCTTCTGCCTTGAAGATTACCCTGTATACAGTAAACGTCAACACAGGTGTGTATAATTAAACACCAGTAGCTGTTTATTTTGTTTTACTTTTGATTACTACAGTACAATACCCTGAGATGATAATGTTTTCAGTAACCATATGAGGTTGTTCTTAGAATGGCAAAAATAATGACAATCAACCTAAAGAGAAGTTGTGTTTCTGTCCATAAACATAGACAGTATGAAGAAGTGTGCTTTCAAAATTCATCTATGGGAAAACCACAGTATATGTCAGTTTAAATTGACTGGCTTCATTTGACTGAGATGCATAGCTTGTCATTGTTGTTGATGGTTTAATACTATAATTATATACCCTTGTGCCTTCCTTGTGTTGGAGCAATTATCAGAACACACTCCTCCCAAATACTGTTGATAAAGTAATGTAAGTGTGTTAAATGCAAAAACATAATTGTCACAGTCATCTGTGGTCATGTCCTTTAGGGCCACTAGAGGTCTTGATTTCTGTGTTCTGGTTGTGTTTTACTGGACTGACTTTCCCATACATCATTGCAGCAATCCCTGTTTACTCATTAGCTGTGCCCACTAAGACTTATTATGTGTTTTGTGGTGTTATTTAATAATAATAATAATAATAATAATAATAATAATAATAATAATAATAATAATAATTATTATTATTATTATTATTATTATTTGTCATTTGGATTTCATTTGTTTGCTTGATCTGGTCCTTGCGGTTCTTGTTTGTTGTTTTCCTGATTGCATTTTTGGACTCTTTGCCTTGTTTAATCACCTGTCCCCTGCCTTGTTTAGTTTTGTCTATTACCTTATTTTGTAGATCCCTTTTTATTTTTAAATTAAGAACTGTGCATGGATCCTCTGGTATAGAAAGGACACAGCTGCTGATACTCAAAGCATGCGAACATCAGTTACACGTTTTTTTCATGACAACAATTCAACAGTGATTACATTTTTAATGTTACTGTGAAGGGTAGGTCAGGGGTTGCAGTGTAATAAATTAATCAAACAGAATTTAATGGGTAATTGAATAAATAATATAAATAATTACCTTTAACTTCTGGCCAGGAGCATGGGCATGTTCTCCTCATGTTGGTGGGGTTTCCTCTGGGTGCTCCAGTTTCCCCCACAAGTCCAAAGACATGCGCTATACAGTAGGTGAACTGAGTAAGCTAAATTGTAGTAGTTTATGTGTGTGAATGAGTGTGTGTGGATGTTTCCCAGTGATGGGTTGCAACTGGAAGAGCATATGCGGCTTAAAACATATGCTGGATAAGTTGGCAGTTCATTCCACTGTGGCAACCCCAGATTAATAAAGGGACTAAGCTAAAAAGAAAATGAATGAATTAATGTATTTTGCGGAACAAAAGATAATCAAATGTAAGTAAAGAAAATAAATACTTTTAGAGACTCATTCATTTATTTTCTGGTCGGCTTAGTCCCTTTATTAATCTGGGGTTGCCACAGCCGAATGAACCGTCAACTTATCCAGGCCATTTTTTTTTTTTTTACACAGCGGATGCCTTTCCAGCTACAACCCATCTCTGGGAAACTTCCACACACACATCCACACACACACTCATACACTACGGACAATTTAGCTTACCCAATTCACCTGTACCGCATGTCTTTGGACTGTGGGGGAAACTGCAGCAACCAGAGGAAACCCATGCGAACGCAGGAAGAACATGCAAACTCCACACAGAAACGCAAACTGAGCCAAGGATCAAACCAGTGACCCAGCGACCTTTTTGCTGTGAGACGACATCACTATCTACTGCACCACTGCGTCGCCACTTTCAGAGACTGTATTTGCATAACCAAACACTGTAGGGGCGAAGCATGTATTGTTTATTGTTTGGTCATGTTATTAAATGCATTAACTAATACAACCTTATTGTAAAGTGTTATCACGCGTTGAGTTGCAATTTACTTTAAACGTCAGTGCATTAAATGAAGTTTATTCATAAACTTATTTCGAGAGGATCACGTGCTTATGATTTATCACGTCCAGTCTCGTATTTGCTAATCACTAATCTTTCAATCATACGACCCCTAAGGCACCATAAATAGCCTCAGTTTTCAGTTCACTTTATCTTCGTTTGGAAGAAGCAGCTTCACCGTAGCTAGCTCCGTTGAAAAACCAACTCTAAACCAGCATGGACAACCAAAGCAGCTACAAGCTACAATCATCAGGATCTCTGTTTGGAAGAACGCTCTGCTCTGCTCATCAACCTCAAAGCTACAAAAGCTACAAGCGCTACAAAAGCTACAAGCGCTACAAAAGCTTCAATCTACACGCTTCAATCTACAAGCTTCAAGCTACTATCTACAATATACAATCTAAAAGCTTCAATCTACAAGCTACAATATACAAGCTACAGCAACAACAACAACAACTATTACTACCATTTCAAACAACTACAACTCCAACAATTTCATCAACAGCTTAAACAACAACACCAAAACCTTCCACTTCAAAGAGCCTCCACAACGCATCTGCTGTGTCTTCAACCTTATTTCCCAGCAAGATAACAGCCAAAACTCCAAAGCTATTGCAAAAACTGAACCTTTACCTTCTCCTAGCAGTACACATGCGATCCATCGTTCAACAGATTGTTTGCTGGAATGTGTTCAGCAGAACAGCAGCTCCAGCCATAAACAATGTTGAATGTGATTAACAAAATGGCCGCCAGGCTTTTTGCACCTTTTGCATTGCCTGACTGAAACTCCGTTAAGCCAATAGCTGTAAAGAGAAGCATCACCATCCAATGAGCTAAAAGACTGGAGATGGTCCCGCCCCCTCTCTTGACTCTGTTGCAAAGACCTTATGAATGAATAGGCCAGACACGCTTGTGAATTTAGTTAAGAAAAAAAAAAAAAAAAAAAATTCCAATAGACATTTAACTTCTGAAAGATTATTACCCAACCAGTAAATTATAGCAAGCTATTGGAAAATATTATGCCATCAAGCACAAAAGTCCAAGTGTAATACGCCATACAAAGTGTCATATACAGTAGGATTATGTAGCAAGTCAGTCGGGTGTGAAAACGGCAAGACAACAAACTTCTCACTTGACTGTTATAAATAAAAATTTAAACTTCACTATCACTTCACATGCTCACTCTTCAAGAGATACCAGTTTTCCAGGACCACCAGACAAGCCACACCCCATATGCTCAGCTCTCCATCCCTCTGCCATCCCGTGGGGAGACGAACACCCACCTCTACCATCCTTGCACATTGTAGCAATAAAGCTATCAGACCATGCATTAACAAAAGCGCTTCCATTTACATGCCCTTATTCAGATGCCTTGCATGGATATCATCTAAAACAATTTTCATGTCTGCCATACTTGTATTATTCGGCAAAGATTTAATTTCTGATTCTCTTTGTTTTTCTATTTTAGAGCTCATGACTGCTGGCTCCAGAAGCTGACCCTCATCCAACCTACTACACTCCACATCCTCTTCACAAAGGATACATTCCATTTTTCACTTTATCTAATCTGTCCTAACCTGCAGTCTGCGACCTCCGAACCTGAAACCGTCGATTATCTTATTAAAAAGAAATCGACAACAACTTCATGATTGGACCATTCAAGGCTCCTCCATTTATATCTCGCGCATTAGCCCCATTGGTGTCGCTACTCAAAAATTTTCTGGCAAAAAAAAAAAAAAAAAAAAAAGTCGACTCCTGTTAATATTTCTAACCTTGCTCGGGAACTAAGTTCTCAACCTGATACTAACTTTTCTGATTTTCTCCTTTCAGGTCTAACCCACGGATTCCACCCAGGTGTTGCAGCTCTCCCTTCACTTAATTTAATTTGTCCTAACCTGCAGTCTGCGACCTCTGAACCCGAAACAGTCGATTATCTTTTTAAAAAAGAAATCGACAACAAATCCATGATTGGACCTTTTAAGGCTCCTCCATTCAATATTTCACGCATTAGCCCCATTGGTGTCGCAACTCGAAAATTTTCCGGCAAAAAAACGCCTCATAGTCGACCTTTCGTCCCCACATAATTCCTCTTTCCCTAGCATTAACAGCACGATACCACTAGAAGAATATACGCTCAACTATCATGACATCGATCAAGCAATCTCTCTTATAAAGATAGCCGGCCACAACGCCTGGCTAGCCAAAGTAGACATCTCTTCTGCCTTTAAAATCATGCCAATCCACACAGACTTCTGGCACCTTTTTGGCATTTATTGGCGCAATCAATTCTATTTTGCAGTCCGACTAACCTTCGGATGCAAAAGCAGACCAAAAATATTTGACATGATGTCAGAAGCATTATGCTGGATTCTATCCAATAATTACGGAATTCCATACCTCATCCACCTTCTAGACGATTTTCTCCCCTGTCATCTCCTCCAGCCAAACACTTAGCGATCACCCAACAAGTTTTCGCTGATCTCGGAATTCCTCTAGCAGAGGAAAAAACTTCAGGTCCCAGTACTTCAATCGAATTTCTGGGCATTAATCTAGACTCGCACAAATTTCAAGCATCCCTCCCCAAAGAGAAGATCGATCGGATCATTTCTCTATCCCAAATCTTCCTCGAAAAACAGATGTGCACAAAACGAGAACTCCTATCAATTCTCGGCCATCTAAATTTCACTATGCGCATCATTCCACAGGGCCGCCCCTTATTTCACACCTCCTTCAACTATCTACCACAGTTCAAGGTTTAGAAGAAATAATTGTTCTCTCTAAACCAAGTCGTGATGAACTCTGCTTATGGATCTCTTTCCTTAAGCAATGAAACGGCTGTTCCTTTTTCTATAGCGACTTAACAACATCCCCCATCGACATTAACCTATACACAGACGCTGCCCCCTCAATTGGTTTCGGCGGCTACTACAAAGGACACTGGTTTGCCTCAACATGGCCACCCCAATTCAAT